TAATTACACTGAGCAGGTGTAGAATGGTTGTTGAATGTGCCCTGGGCAGATTGAAATCCCATAGGAGATGGCTACAGACACTTCTGAATGCCAATGGGTCATGAACGCTGTCCACATTACTGTGGCTTGCTGTGCTCGTCACAATCTTTGTGAAGCCAGAGGTGAGACATTTCCCCTTCAATGGGCCCATGACAGTGAGGGGGCACTGAATCGATGCACCTCCTGAGCGAGGGTAACTACCACGGCTGGAGCTGGCTGCAGCCGGGCAACAGAAGTCAGGAGCTTTGTGCTCCCATATTATAGACCTGTATGGCCTAGTGAAAGAGGGAAAATAGTACTTCTGTGAATGTGCTTGGAGGTGAGGAGATGCACTAATTGATTTGGGGAGGGTTCAGTACTGGGGAAGAGATAGGGGCTTGACTGCCATGCAATGTAGTTATGAATTGCATGACACCCTATGAAATTGGGGGTGCGAGGGTGATTTACAGTATGGATCCATATAAGGAGGTGACTAAAGTGTGGATTGCTGTGCTTAACTGTATAGAGGAATAGTGTTTGCTTCCTAATTGTTCCTGATCATGGGTTTAGCTTTATTATTTCAAATACTGATTGAATGATGAGATGCAGTGATAGTAATAAACTTTCTTGATGACATAAAAAGCTTTATCTGTAAATGTGTCAAAACAATATAACAGTCACCTGTTGCCAGGCCAGCCATCTACCATTACCACAGCCCAACACCAGTTAGAAAAGACTATTTCCAAAAACAAAAAAAGTTCAGAAAAAAGTGCCAACATGACAGAAACCCCCTACTGCTGCATGTCTCCAGGCCCGCTGTTCCCCTTTCCCTTCTTTCCCCATTTTCCGCACACTTGGCACCAGGGGAGGGAATCAGAGGTATCCAGAAGAGAGGGGTCAAGAGAGAGGGCTGCATGAGGTTTAATTGCCCTGTCCAGCTGCTCATGGGGCCCAATTCCATGGGCCACCCAGACATGGCATTTCAGTACATCTCAGGGGAATTAGGCTACAGTGTGGGGAGGCAGCAAGAGCAGTACGCTTGCAGCTATGATGGAGATGAGCTGTGTAAACAGTTCTCCCTTAGCTACTGTTCCTGTTCCAGGAACTACATAGCAAGTGCCTGCTCCCATGCTGAAACCCTGTTCTCAAGCTGTAGGGCAAGCCTCAGCCCTTCCTCTTGCATGACTTTTCTCTAGTCATAAACGCCTTTGTTTCTGGTACTGGACCTCCTTGTTGACTGACTCCAGAACTTCAACCATAAGTTCATCACAGAAATGCTTTTTATTGGAACAGTCCAAGAAGGTACTTTGGGTCAGCCTCATACTGCACTGAGGTAGAGCTATGGTGATACAGCAGCCGGTAGAGGTCGAGGGACCCTCAACAGGACAAGACACAGAGGGCTATTGTCTCAAACAGTTCAGTGGAGGAGCACAAGATAAATTCTTATGGAATTTCAAGGACCTAAAATGTTACATTTCACAAATGAACTTCAATATACTGTGAAAGAGATGCTTCAGTCAATCAAAGCTCCCTGGAGAAAACCTGGTTAATCACAGTTAAAGCAGTGCAAAAACAATGGCAAATTAAAAATTGTAAGAACATAAGAATGGCCCTACTGGGTCAGGCCAAAGGTCCATCTAGCCCAGTATCCTGTCTTCCAACAGTGGCTAGTGCCAGGTGCCCCAGAGGGAATGAACAGAACAGGTAATCATCAAGTGATCCATTTCCTGTCGCTCATTCACAACTTCTGGCAAACAGAGGCTACGGACACCAATTTTACAAAAATTGCACAACTAAGTTGGGGAGGGGGCAGTCAGGGAGGACCTTGCTACAGAAGCTTTTTCTATTATTTCAGTCCTTTACCATTTTGGAGAACATAAGTGTTCTTGTGGTATCCTATTGGCTAAGAAAGATGTTATCCAAGCTACTGGTGGAAAACCTGCAGTGCATGCAGCTCAAGTATTCAAACGTACAGTGACTAAACAGCATATTTGTGAGTAGAGGGCTACTGATGGTCAGCTACCGATGTGGCCCTGGAAAATATGCCCTTCCTCGCAACATGACTACCCATCTGCAGTTCTTGCTTCAGGAAAAGTTTGTAGCTATCAGCACACAGGATTGGGTCAGAATTCATGAAGGAATCAACACGATTGCTGTGTTAGCTTCCACATGGCTTATCCTGTTACAGTTGAATGCAAATACACAAAACTCCACAGCCTTCCTCCTCCCCACCCCACTCATACTTGGGACAAAATGATTTTATCCCCTATTCTATGGACTCTAACTGAAATGGACTAGATTTGGAAACCGAAAACATTTTCCCGAACACACACACACGTACGTTCACGGTTTCTAGCTCCACAGACCTTTGAGTGATTACAGAGCAGCAAATTTAAAGATACAGCAGTGTAATATTTTTAAGAAACAGGAATTACCCCAGCAAAAAAAAAGTGCCTTTCCAGTAAAAATACTCTTTAAAAGGTGTACTTTACTGTTGGCATTTCCCAGTCACCATTTCGAACTCCACGTAGTGGGGAGAAAGAGGAGGAGGGTGGACACCAAGTCGCTGGGATACAATCCAGCTTTAGTGGATACATGCTGCTAGCCACGGGTTCTCATAAATTTTGCATTAGTTCATAGAGTGGAAATTCCTCCCATTATTCCATTTACATGGAGCTAGAAACTTACCGGGCTCAAGGGTGACTTCTGTCCCCTCGGTGTCTGCTGCAGACTCCGCAGCAGGATGTTCCTCGGGTGCATCAAACAGAATTTGCTGCTGATCCTGTTCCAAAGCCTGCTCTGCGGCCGGTTTCAGCAACAGAGGGACTTCAGGCTACTAGCTTGGCACCTGCTGCTGTCTTCCATAAGTCTGCATGCTGGATTCTGGGTTCATCAGGGCACCATCCCGGCTGAACAGGTCATCGTGCTCCACAGGTGGCTCTATCCTGGGTGCAGTGCCCAGCATCTGGTAAAACTCCACATAAAACAGGCACGGTGTTGGTGAGTTGCACGAGGTCAGTTCTGGTTCTTGGTCCTCCGACACGCACTCTTGAGCCACTTAATTTGCTTCCCCAGACAGGTCACCAGTGTGGTAAATTTGCAAAGCTGCCAGCTTCTTCACTATTTGCTGATATGCATAGTATTTCTGGTAATCCTACTCAAGTCCACAGTTTTGCTGACCTCACATCAGAGATTAATCTGGCTGTGCTCCCGTGACCATGATGCAGCACGCTTAACAAAAAACCTTTTCTGGTTGGTCAGTACTGCGAACACAGAAGGCTCTCTGATGCTGTGTTTGCAGCTCAGTGGTCAGAAGACAAAGAAAGAGTTAACACTGACTCACTCAGCGTCTGCTGTATGGCCAAGGGGGGTGGCTTTCATTTTCACTTGAGTCAAATGGAGATTCTTGGGATAGAAAGGAAAAAGGAAGTTGGCCCATAGGATCATGGGATACCTTTGGTGAACTCTCAGGACCCAGGTCAAGTGGAACTGCATCTACACTGCAAAACAATAGGGATTGAACCCTGGGTCCCAGCTTCACTCAGGCTCGAACCTTCTACCCACAGAAAATCCTAGGACTCCAGCTCCAAGCCCAAACCCAAGAGATGTGTGTGTAGCTGGAAGGGCAATTTGGGCTCAAGCCTGAATCTGAACTTGGGCTTACACTGTAGTGCAGACATACCTTGAGAAGCAGAGAGTCAAGGCACTGGGCTGCAGCAGCCCTCCATGAAAGCTTTTGTCAATTTCACAGGTAAAAAGTGAAACTGACGAGGCCTTCCGGGAGGGCAGCTGTCATTTCAATTTTCACAATGAAAAAACCAATTTTTTTGTGCAAAACTAAAATTTTTCCATGGAAAATTCCCATTTTACAAAAAAGACATGTTTTATCAGAAAATCATTTGGATGGACATTTTTCATCCAGCTCCAAACAGGAATTTTGGTAAGCACAATGTAATTACCCAAGCTGGAATTTGGACAGGACAGACTAACAACTCTGCTTTAACATCAGCAACTGGTCAGTACCTTGGCTTTGAATGTCCACATAAGACTGCATCTCTAGCAGCTCAGTGCCCCCCCAAATACTAGGTTTGAACATGTTTTCAGTATCAACTCAAAGGGAAGAGTCTAAATCACCAGCACAACCTCTTACAGTTAGGCTCGAATTTTCTACCTCCATCAAATGATTAGAAGCTTCAGACATCTCTACTTGAATACAAATGTGTTGGAATTTGGGGTTCTGTCAGTGCTGTAGCAACCCATCTTATGAAACCTGTGGCAGCAGATGGCCTCAGATCCAAAGGGGGCCTAAGATCCAGTCTGTAGTTTCTAGGCTATTTCAGTTGATGCAGGGCAGACTAAATGTATGCCAAGTATCCCATAATTGCACTTCATATGTCAATTTGCATAATCACAGTGCTATTGCAGATGCAAAGTAAACAGAGTAGGAGGATACACCATGGTTGAACTCCTTAGACATATGCCGTCCCTACAGAGACAGTACATTCCCTAGCCATGTCTGGTTGGGAAACCCCACCGAAGCCCCCTAACTCTGTTTCCTAGAGATGGTATTTTCTCTGCTTAGGGTGAGCTTTTGCATTTCTGCTTTGCAGTTGCAGATACTTGTTGTGCTGCTGTTTAACTTTAAACACAGTGCATATGAATGCTTGGTGATTACAAAGACTAAAACACAATAAGGATTTTTATTATTTATGGGATGGATTGCAGTGGTCCAGAGCCCAGTCAAGATCACTAGATCAGAGAGGACGAGAGAGAAACAGGATCATATTAAGAGGCAAAGGTGCACTTGAGGTTTGACTCCTGGCACCTCTTCAAATGTACAATTAGTCCAGGAAACAAATCAAGGAAAAAAGAAAAAATAAACTTAGAGGGGCATGAAGAAAATAAGAAGCAAGGAACATTGTCTCATCGTTCACCGCTATATCTCAACAAGTGGAGTAGTCACAACTCAGAAGACATTGCACTAATTTCAGTATCCCCTTTTAATGTCAGTGGTCCTTCAACATGGCCCAAATTCATCCATGACAAAGCAAGAATAACCATACTGAAACATGGATCACTGCAAGTTAAAAGTAAAAGTTTTCTAAGTCACAATGGAGCAGGTTTATAGAAGAAAATAATATAAGAAAATTGAAAAATGTTCAACTACCAGAATATATGAGCCAGTGTTAAGAGGATGTAGCGTTCTACTTTTGTTGCAAATTATTTGGTGTTGGTCAGCGTAGTCTCTCGGTGGTGGTGGTTTTCAGGAAGGCAATATAACCACAAACCTCTCGAAACTCATGAGAAAAACCATGTTCAATCGGATATACAGAAAAGAGGAGAGAGTTGGAACCATAACCGAAAATTGAATCTGCAATTGACCAGAATTCACAATCATTCCTCAAAACTAAAAGACAACACTTGCAACGTGTACTTAAAAGAATTGTGGCCATTGTTCTTCACTTAACTTACCAGAACCTAGCATTTTGTGGATCCATGGAAAAACTTAATGAGAGTGGAAATGGAAACTTTTTAGGCCAAGTTCAATTACTGGCTAAATTTGTGCCTGTGATGAAGGAACACAAGATGGTTCTTTACTAAAGAAGAAAGACACCAATACATAGCCCTGCAATACAAAATATCATTTTGAAGTTATTTCAAAAGATAACATACAATTAGCAACATCAACAAGATGAAGTATTACTCCATTATTTTGGATTGCACATCTGCTATCAGTCACAAGGAACAAGTGTCGGATATTAACATACCTCAAAATGACAAAGAGACAGAAGTCAAGATTGAAGAGCAATTCCCATCATTTCTGAATGTAGAGGAACTACCAAAAAGGCTCTGTCAGATGAGATACTTTAAGAGAAAAGGAGTACTTGTGGCACCTTAGAGACTAACCAATTTATCTGAGCATGAGCTTTCGTGAGCTACAGCTCACTTCATCCGAAGTGAACTGTAGCTCACGAAAGCTCATGCTCAAATAAATTGGTTAGTCTCTAAGGTGCCACAAGTACTCCTTTTCTTTTTGCGAATACAGACTAACACGGCTGTTTCTCTTAAAGTAGGTTTCAGAGTGTTACCCAGACATATGACATGACATTGGATAACTGCAAGGGACAGGGATACGATAATGGAGCTAACATGAGGACTGCATCAAGAGTGCAAGCTCATTTAACTTAAAAGAACAAAAAGGCATTTTTGTGTGTGCCTGGCAGAGAGCAAAAGTGGAAATATCAAAGTTTTGCAGTTTCAGACAGAGTGTGCGAAGAGTACTACCGAATTTGAAAGAAATGACCGAAGATAATGGGGTATATATGCAAAAGCCAGATCACTGGCAGATGAACTCCCCTCATTTCAGTTCAGTCTCACTTGTGGCTTGTAAAAGTTTACTGCTTAAAATTAAAATTGCAAAAATAGAGCTCAATGCTTGGACTTGATGAAGTCAGCAAATCAATTTAAGTTACTCGGACAAACACAGAATTATCACGAAAATGGATTTAAAGAGGTGTTAATTGCTAAAAATGTCAGTACCTGCAGAATGAGCTGAAACATAAGTCTACAGTAAATTGCAAAGCTACAAAGCAGAGGATCAAGTCACTGGCAATGCAGAAGAGAGATTTAAATTTGACTTCTTCAATATTGCTATGGACACTGCTCTCATGAAGCTGGGACAACATTTTTAAATTTTTGTGAGAACACGTGAACATGTTTGGATTCCGGCGTAATATGAGAAGCATATTTCAACAAACTTTTCTCCATCCAGCATGTTAGAAAAATTGCTTAGTAACCTGAAATCAACTCTGACAAGTTCTGATGGCTGTACTGTGAATACAGACAGGTATAACCTGGTACATAACTCCAGAGTCTTTCTGTTGTTTTGCCAATGCACTTGAGACACTTCAATTCAATTCCAGAAGCAGTCTGTCCACTCTGTACCCAAACACGTGTATTGCTCTGCAGGTGTTTCTCACAGCTCCAATATCTGCGGCACCGGCAGAAAGAAGTTTCTTAAAACTAAGTCAACAAAAACTTATTTAAGGTCTACCATGCTGAAGAACCTTTAGGAGGACTAATTTCATTGTCTATAGAAAGTAACATTTGCAAGACACTGGACTTCAAGGACATGACATAGAAGAATTCATCAATAGAGCACTCCATTACTCAGCATAAACAAGGTAAGAAAAATACATACATTTTTCCAGCAGTTATCCACTGACAAAAGTAAAATGCAACAGGCTTTTTTTTTTTTTTATTTGTTTAGCTTCGAAGGTAGACTCAGTCAACTACTAGTTGGGAATTTCTATAGGTCATTAAAGTATTTTCATACTTCTATTAAATTGGTAATAGAATATTATTAATGGAAAGGGGGTCCCCTCGGTTCTCTTCCAGGTAGCCTCCAAATTCCTTGTGATGGCACTGTTGGGGTAGGATATTGGATTTTTTTGGCAAAAATATACGCTCCCTTGGCCTACTGCTATTATTAAAAAACAGCCAACACCTGACAGTGACTTATGTATAGCCTACTCAAATCAAAAGTGTGTTCTTGTGATCCTATTTATCTTAGGCACTTATATGGCCATACAAGCATAGTATCCAAACACCTCAGAATCATTAATGTATTCATCTTTCCCCGGTGAGGAAAAATTATTACCCCATATTACACATGGAAACTGAAGAATAAGAACTAGGTGATTTGCCCAGGCACCCTGTGGCAGACAAGGGAATTGGATCCACGTCTCCCAAGTTCCAGGTTACCGCTCTAGTCACTGGACCATCCATCTTCTCTGGCTCTACAGCGGAAAGTAAACTACATCAACTGATGATAGATTAAAGGGAATAGCAAAAAGTAAAATTTCAGCTCTTAAGAAAAATAATTTCAGCCAAAAGGAAAAAAAATTAATACACAATGTATACATACAAACTATTAAACGCAGTGGTAACAGTGTTTAAGGAAACAATTTCTATAATACACCAAAGAACACAACTGTAAGGATGTAAAAAATACTCTAAAAACCTTACCAGCAAAAAGACCTTATTAGCTAAATATTTCATACAAAAATATTTCTTTTACTATAATTAAACCATTCACATGAATTTTTCTGTAAATCCAATATCTTACTGATTAATATATTTGCTGAGCTCAGAAAATACAATGAGAGCTATACATATATTTATAAGATCTTCGCCAAAGATATTACAAATTAATTCAAATAGAAAAGAGAGAGTTCAAACTTGTAATACCCAGAAAACAGTGAAAACGTGTAAGAGATCATTATTGAAAGGCTTCAATGACAGAATACATTTGAAGAATTAAAACGGAAAAAGGCAAGTAATTTGGCACACCAGAAAAGAGTTAATTCCAAGAACAAGAGGCAGCATGATAGAATATGCAAAGGAGAGAAACAGTGGCTACCAAGGGGGCTTTAGAAGTGAAAATTGTTTGAGGCATGGGTAAGTAGGAACTGATCACACTCCTCTCTGAATCCCTCCAACTTGCTTCCTTTCATCTTCTGCATCAGAAGTTGAAGCTTCAAACTCTTCCCCTACAAAGTCCTATAAAACTCACATGCCTATAATTAACTGGGTCATCCCATTTACCCTTTAACAATTGGCATGTCATAGAATCAGAAGTGGAAGGGACCTCGAGAGGTCATCTAGTCCAGTACTCTGCACTTGTGGCAGGACTAATTATCTAGACCATTCCTGACAGGTGTTTGTCTAACCTGTGCTTAAAAGTCTCCAATGATGGAGATTCCACAGCCTCCCCAGGCAATTTATTCCAGTGCTTAACCACCTTGACGTTTAGGAAGTTTTTCCTAATGTCCAACCTAAACCTCCCTTGCTGCAATTTAAGCCCACTGCTTCTTGTCCTAGCCTCAGAGGTTAAGAAAAACAATTTTCTTCCTCCTCCTTGTAACACCCTTTAACATGCTTGAAAACTGTTATGTCCCCTCTCAGTCTTCTTTTTCCCCAGACTAAACAAACCCAATTTTTTCAATCTTCCCTCAGAGGTCATGTTTCCTAGACCTTTAATCATTTTTCAGAGTAGCAGCCATGTTAGTCTGTATTCGCAAAAAGGAGTATTTGTGGCACCTTAGAGACTACAAATTTGAGCATAAGCTTTCATGAGCTCACTTCATCGGATGCATATAGCTAACGTAAATGCATAAAGCTTATGCTCAAATAAATTTGTAGTCTCTAAGGTGCTACAAGTACTCCTTTTCTTTTAATCATTTTTGTTACTCTCCTCTGAACTCTCTCCAATTTGTCCACATCCTTCCTGAAATGTGGCGCCCAGAACGGGACACAATACTCCAATTGAGGCCTAATCAGAGCAGAGTAGAGCAGAAGAATTACTTCTCATGTCTTGCTTACAATACTCCTGCTCATACATCCCAGAATGATGTTCACCTTCTCTCCCCCCCCCCCCACCCCGCGTTTCACTGTTTACTCATATTTAGCTTGTGGTCCACTATGACCCACAGATCCCTTTCCGCAGTACTCCTTCCTAGGCAGTCATTTCCCATTATGTATGTGTGCAACTGATTGTTCCTTCCTAAATACTTCGTTCATCACCTGTCTTTCAGTCTTTTGGAACTTCCCCAGTGCTCCAAGACTGGACAGAAGAACAAATGAATATAAACTGGCCATCAGGAAGTTTAGACTTGAAATTTGATGAAAGTTTCTAACCATCAGAGGAGTGAAGTTCTGGAACAGCCTTCCAAGGGGAGCAGTGGGGGCAAAAGACATATCTGGCTTCAAGACTAAGCTTGATAAGTTTATGGAGGGGATGGTATGATGGGATAGCCTAATTTTGGCAATTAATTGACCTTTGACTATTAGTGGTAAATATGCCCAGTGGCCTGTGTTGGGATGTTAGATGGGGTGGGATCTGAGTTACTACAGAGAATTCTTTCCTGGGTGTCTGGCTGGTGAATCTTGCCCACATGCTCAGGGTTTAGCTGATCACCATATCTGGGGTCAGGAAGGAATTTTCCTCCAGGGCAGATTGGCAGACACCCTGGGGGTCTTTTGCCTTCCTCTGCAGCATGGGGCACGGGTCACTTGCTGGAGGATTCTCTGCACCCTGAAGTCTTTAAACCACGATTTGAGGACTTCAATAGCTCAGACATAGGTTAAGGGGTTGTTACAGGAGTAGATAGGTGAGATTTCGTGGCCTGCGCTGTGCAGGAGGTCAGACTAGACTATCATGATGGTCCGTTCTGACCTTAAAGTCTATGACTTACTGAAAATCAAAATTCATGGTCCAGTCATCTTCTTAGCTAAGCTGTTTTACAACTCTTGGATAGAAGTTATTTGCACCTACTAATTTAAAAATGTCTAACAGCTGCTGTTTTAACATCCTCCAGCGATAACTAGTGGAATCGAAGGAATGTTATCACCATAGGATGAGACTATATTAACTGCTTTTTCCCCAAAGACAGAATAGATTTCCTTTATGAATACTTCTACTTTTTTCTGCATTATTATTGATAATTCTACAATTTCCACATAGGAATGAACCAACACCATTGTCAGGATTCTTTTGTTCCTAATATATTTTAAAAGCTCTTTCTTATTGTCCTTAAATTCACAGGCTACAGATTTCTCTGCGTCCCTGTTGGCTTCCCTGATCAATTTTCTACAATTCCTAACTTCTCATTTGCATTAATTACTATCACCTTCATCTTTTTTCCTTTTTTTTTTTTAAATCTAGTTTTCCATAGCTGCCTTCACTTCCATTCTAAACCAGGTTAGGTTTTTAACCAGTACAACCTTGTTCCTCAGCTGTGGGAATGTAGCTTTTTCGGCATCTAGTAAGGGGTTCTAATTATCATTCACTAGATCTCTGCTCTTTTCCTCCTCCTCACTCCACCCTAGACTCCCTCCTAATAT